TCCAGTCCTAAAGTCGGATGATTCTGTACGTATTTGCGCTGACTATAAATTAAATGTTGCTCGTTATTTATTTCTGGATAAAAATCCTTATCTTGGATAGAGGATCTGCATGCTACGCTGGCAGGCGAATAATAGCTCACACAGATCGACCAAAGTCGTGTGTACTAAAAAGTTGATTTTGGGAAGACCCCTCGCTCATGCACTACGATAAGTACCCACTTGGGTTCATTCCGGCAAAAATTCTGCCCTTCGGAATCAGTTTTGCCCCGGCGATATTCCAAAGGATCATTGACGACCTAATCAAAGATATTTTTTCCCTTGCGCTATTCTTGACGACATTCGGATTACAGGAAGTGCATATGCTTGAAAGTTATAAAAGATATACCCTGTGTTCGAACATCTGCAACTGAATGAACTCAAATTGACGAAGTCCAAGAGCAAGATTTTCTGAGATTCCGTTCTTTTGCCTGGGTTACCGTCTCGATAACAACTGATTACACGTGTTAGAAGACAAAAGTATTCCACACTTCTAGCACCTAAAGGCAAGAATGACGCCGAACTCCATTCTAGCTTGGGGGTGTTTTTCACCATCGTCGCATCTTACCTAATGCCTCAACAGTATTTGTACCTTTATACGAACAGTTGCACAACGGGAACTTCTGGACTTTGGCTCCGAATCAAAGAAGAGCCTTCATAGAAGCGAAAAGAGCCCTAAGTGCCTCCACCTATCTCGTACATTTTGGTCCGAGCCGGTCTATAGTTTTGCAGTGTGATGCTTCCCCACGAGGAGTAGGCGTAATCATTTGATAACAAAGGGATGACGGTTATCTTCGTCTCATCGCTTTTGCTTCTCGCATACTGCAAACCGCCGAAACGAATTACTTCCAACTGGACAGATAGACCCCATCGATTATTTTCGGAGTCAAGCATTTATACCAGTATGTCTGGAGAAGATCGTTCGATAACCACCCTGGCTATAAACCACTTCTTTCGCCTCTGTGTTTGCAGAGAAGGGAATCCAACAGGTGTCTCCGTACCGAATGCAAAGTTGAGCATTACTTTTGAACTCATATCACTACGAACTCCAGTATATAAACGGAAGTAGTACTACCATTGCCGATGTACTAGTCGCCTACTGCAGCAGCATGGTATAAAACGAACAGTAAATCCATGGATTTTATCAATCTGATGCATACTCTTGAAAAAACACACATAAGGAGTTTGGTCGAGCGGTGTCTGACAGACCGAGACCCTGTATTGTCGATGGTGAAACGGTACTTGGTGACCGGATGGCCTACAAGCATGTCAGACGAACTGAAACCATTCGCATGTCGGAGTAATGATTTGAGTCTCTATGACGGCTGTATATTTCGAGGCTTTCACATAGTTCCACCGAACGAACTACAGCCCATGTTTCTGGAAGTGTTACGTGACGCACACAGATGCGCGGACATGATGAAGGAAATAGCACGTAGTTTCTGTTGGTGCCTGAACATTGACTTGGATATAAAGCGGCAGCTAACAACTGCGAACAATGTCAGAAACATCGAAGAAAAATCACGGACGGATACGTCCATGGCGTTGGTCGGAGATGCTTTGGCAGCGAGTACATGCGGACTATTTTGTATCGATCAATAAACTGATGTGTCTGCTTTTGGTTGATGCCCATTCTAAATGGTTAGAAGAAAGTTTAGTTCCATATGCAACTTCCTCATCAACTGTTACGAAAGTGCGCTCCACAAGCGCCGAATTTGGGTATTCCCGAGACGGTTTGCACCGACAACGGGCACCATTTACCAGTGAGGAGTTTCAACAGTTCTTGTGTAACAACGGAATACATCACAGCAAGTCTGCACCATACCATCCCGCATCGAATTGGAGAGCAGAACGTGCAATCCAGACTGTTAAGCTAGGTACCTTGTTGCAGACTCATGGAACTCTGAAAATCTAAGTTGTATCGTCTCCTGTTCTCATATACCACGACACCGACTGAGTCGAAAGGGAAGTCACCCGCGGGGTTCATGTTTGGCCGGCCACTATGTGAACTCGGATCACCCTCAACATCAGTGCGCATAACGTAGCTAGGAGCGCATTTTCTCACATTGACCTTGAGTCACATAACCGTGGTAGGTGTGAACTGGAGGCTCATGAGCATCGGATGCGGTGTTGTCGTAGTGAAAACTCTCCTTTTAACGAGGTTCTACCTGCTTCCATCCCAAAACTACACAGATCGACAAACTGCAGTGTTTAACCTCAATACCTTGAGGACAGGGTTTTTGAACCAGGCAAATAGCGCTGAAGGTATTGGAAACTTGGAGAACACTGCGAAACAGGATGCCGACTGAGCTCCGTTTCATGAGACGAACACATTAGGCAGAAGGCATATATCCTTATGTAAACCAGCAAGAGAAAGGTGGATCTCATCCGAGCCGAACACTGACCGTAAACCTGTAAAAGTAAGTGAGAATCCTAGGCAATCATGCTACCATATCCAATAAGCTGCACCATTAAGTCGGTAGATGGGTTAGGTATGGCGCCGTCGAATTCAATTCAAAAGCACCAAGCTAAATTCGGATAACCCCAACCACACAACTGTTGACAAAACCTCATGTCCGAAGTGCGTTTCCTTTGAATGGAAGCTGATATCCGAAAATGCCCACACCGAAATAATAATTCCAGCCGCACTTCTGCTACTTTAAGACTGGCTGGTTTGCTGAACAACCTCGTGGTGCCAGCTGGGTGGTTCGGGATTATCATGCTCCAGCGAATGGTTCGGCGGCAGTGTTCCAGGACGTGGTGCGTTTTCGCCTGGCAAGCGTTCTCCCTATAAAAAGTCACATATGTCCGTTCAACAACACTGTGACATGGCGGATGTGACTCGACACTAAATAAAGTCACTGCTCCTTGCCTCACTCTGAGTGGCATTGTAATTCAAGGGTGTGTTGTGCCCATGGTCCTACGTGGTCCTAAAGGCGTATGAACCGCTTGTTTGTTCACCGGCTCCCAACAGGTTGCGATACCCTCATATCGCCCTTCTGCTTTGTAGGTTAGATCCTTGATCAAAAGCTAGGGTGGGGCCCCCTAAGATACCCTCTACTTCGGCCTTGGCAACCGGCTAGTATCTCGCCAACTGACGAACCATGGACTTACAACCAAAACCATTCAGACGCGCTCTTGCTGACACGATGCTATTCACTCATGTTACTAGGCCAACTACACATCACACGCCACCACTTTACTTACCTTTTGCTTATACCATTCACACCCATTCTTCCCTGATTCCTCTATGGCAATCAACTCTACCTACGCCGATGAACCTGTTTCCGTGACATCTGCCAACTCAATCACACAGTGCTCAACAGAGAGCTGCCAGCCCCAAAGTCTCCCATCTTCGCTCCTGCAACCCGGAACACAGTTCAAATTTGCAACCTTCAACGTACGCACATTAATGCAGATCGGGTCAGCGAGCTGGGATTGCACGCACACTAGCGACCCTTGGAATTGATTTCTGCTGCCTGAAGGAAACACGACTCCTGGACTCTAACTCGGTCTATCAGCTGGTGTCACCGCTCCACCCACGCACCCGCTTCCATTTCAGCCTCTCTGTTGACGCTGAGTCTGCCGCCTCTGGTCAAGCTGGTGTTCGAATCGCCCTCAGTCCTAGAGCCGAGGCTGCTTTGATTGCTTGGATTCCGATCAATAGTCGCCTTTGTGCGACGAGGCTCCATGGCTCTTGTAAAGTTA